TCTTCCCGGGCAGGTGAGCGCGGCCGGGGGCTCGGGGAGGGTGGGGAAGGGGAAATCCAACCCTCGTTCCATGGGGATCCTCTCTCCATCCAATCGCTCCGGTTCAGCCCGCTCTGCGCCCCTCCCCGGACAGCGCGGCCCCTTCCCGGGTACCACCCCCGGCTGTGCGGGGACCGGGACACCATCGGGACCGGGGACCGGGACACTCCCAGAGTCAGGGACCCGGACACCACCGGGACCGGGGACAAGGACATCCCCGGAGTCAGGGACAGGGACATCCTGAGAGTCGGGGACCAGGGCATCCCCACGTTCAGGGATCGGGGCATCCTCAGGGTTGGGGACCGGGACATCCCCACGTTCAGGAACGTTCAGGACACCCCCAGGATCAGGGACCAGGACATCCCCAGGTTTGGGGACCGGGACATCCCCAGGTTTGGGGTCCAGGACATCCCCGGAGTTGGGGTCCCCCAAGGTTCCCCCTCTCGCCTCTGTCCCGGGCATCCCGGCCTTCCCTGGGTTATCCCAGCCCATCCAGGCTTTGCCAGACTCTCCCAGGGAGCCGCAGCATTCCCAGCTCATCCAGGATATCCCATCCTCACCCTCCAGCTCTCGGCGTTCCCCGAATCATCCCCGAGTGCTTCGGGGTGGAAGGGACCTGAGAGATCCTCTCGGTCCGTGGGCAGGGACACTTCCATGGGCCGGGAATCTCGAGGCTGATCCAGCCGATCCCGTTCCCGGCACCGGGAGAGGGATTGAGCCGCTTGTCCCGCAGGGAGGTGAAGCTCCAGAGGTGCTGGAGGGGCATTCCATGGAAAGGCTCCGTCGGGGTTGGATCCTCAGTGTTGGGTGAGGGTGTTGGGAGCAGGGCTGAGGGTGGTGCCGCATCCAGAGCATCCCGGGGCTGGAATTCCAGCGGTTCCAGCCCTCAGCTCAGCTCCTGGCAGTTGGGATTCTGCCTCTCGGTACCAAAGTTAAAAACAGCCGCGCTCAATTCAGCGCTTCCTTCAGAGCCTCCTGCTCTTCCCCTCGGTTATCCCGGATTCCCGAGCCGGGGAATCGCAGCTCTGCCTCCTGCCGGAGCCGCTCCAGGCTCCGTGTCCCTCTGTCCCCTCCAGGCACGGCGGGACCAAGGCCGAGGACACCTCCAAGACGTCCCCGTTCCACCTGGACCTGTGGTTCTACTTCACCCTGCAGAACTGGGTGCTGGATTTCGGGCGCCCCATCGCCATGGTGAGCCGGGCTTTGGGCTCCCCGAGGAGCCGGCACCGGGACCGAGCTTTCCCGGGAAATCCCTTCCCCGAATTCCCTCCCTCACCTTTCTTTTCACTCCAGAAGGTTCCTCCTGCTTTTCCCCGTTCCTGTATCCCAGAGCTCGGGGTTTCCAGGAGCGTCCGTAACGTTCCCATGGGATTTTTGAGCTGGAAGTTGGCAGAAGCTGCAGGATCCCAAAAATGCCTTCCTTGACCCCAGCACCACGGACCGAGAGGATCTTTCCCAGGAAATCCCTTCCCCGAATTCCCTCCCTCACCTTTCTTTTCACTCCAGAAGGTTCCTCCTGCTTTTCCCCGTTCCTGTGTCCCAGAGCTCGGGGTTCCCAGAAGCTCTGGGATACAGGAACGTTCCGTTCCCATGGGATTTTTGAGCTGGAAGTTGGCAGGAGGTTCAGGAAGCTGCAGGATCCCAAAAATGCCTTCCTTGACCGGGCAGGGCCGGGAGGAAAAACTTCCAGAGGGCGATTTTTGGGAATTTTGCTCCAAGAAATCTGCCCAGCTCCATCCCTCCCGACACCGTCAAGTCCAGCTGAGCATTCCCAAGCGATCCCAAACATTTTCCCTCTCTCCTCAGATCGTCTTCCCTCTGGAATGGTTTCCTCTGAACAAACCCAGCGCTGGAGATTATTTCCACATGGCTTACAACGTTATCACCCCCTTCCTGCTGCTGAAGGTAAATCTGGGAATCTCCAGGGCTTTTCCCAGGTTTTTTTTTAATTTTCCAAGGTTTTTCGGGTGTTGGTTATTCCCAAATCCCA